CCAAAATGCCTCCTGGGTAGTCTGAGGCTCCTGCAGGGCAAGAGTATAATATATGTTGTACATATTTAAACATGACATTTAGGGCCGGCCTGGTGGCGCACTGGAGAGTGCGCCACTTGGCGTTCCCACCGAGGGTTCGGATCCCATGTGGAGACCGGTTCCCGCTCACTGGCTGAGTGCAGTGTGGGTGCGACACTGAGGGTTGCGATCCTGTTACCGGTCAGTAAAAAAGACAAAAAAAGGAAAATAAATAAATAAAAAATAAATAAACATGACATTTAACTCTATTTGTAACGTGTAAACTTTGAGAAATATTTTAGTACTTATATTTGATGAAGTATTGTTGTATAAATCTTACCAAATTTGCAAAATTACACCAAATAAAATGAATATAATTAAATCAATTCAAAATTATTCATCAGAAAATTAAAGACCTTCCTATAGCAGAACATCCAAAATATTAAGCAGTAATAAGTATCTACAAAAGTTACATAAAATAAATTTTAAATAATGCTATTAATTTAAAATGCTATTGGAAGAGAAAATGAGAGGGAAACATAAATATATATACACACATACTTACATGTAGAGGTCCTCCTAACCTATTGTACTCAACCAACTTGTAGAATTGGGGATACTCTCCAATTTTTCTGACTAACATGATGATAGCTGGTGTTTAGTAGGCTTGTCTCTAGTACCATATACACTCGTGGTACTAGAAGAATGACATTTTGTACCCAAAATTATTCCAGTTGAATCTACCACTATAACTATTTGGCCTAATTAAGTATTATGGAAACCATTAAAACACAAGTTTTTTTTTTTGGGGGGGAGCAGTTGTTTCTATAAAACTAAAGCACAATAAAGATATAAAAGTGAGTCATTGTATTAGTTAGGGCAGGGTTTCTCAAACTGGGCAGGGATTTTCAACCTTAGAACTACAGACATTTTGGGGTTGGATAATTCTTTGTTGGGGATGTCCTGTGCCTTATAGGATGATTAGTAGCATTCCTACTCTCTACCCACTAGATGCCAGCATTTTCAGTATTCCATTTTATCTATATGTCTTTTGACTATATCTCTTTGTTCAATTTTTTTAATTGGTGTTCTAGGGAATACAATATATGTATATGTGTGTGTGTATATATATATATGTACTTCAAAAGGTTCATGGAAAAATAAAATTAAAAGAATACATATCTTTCTATGAACTTTTTAAAGTACCTTCATACTTTTCACTTTCTACCTAGAGTTCATACGTTATCACTTCACCTGGAATATAGAAATTTTATCACCATATAGGTCCCTTTATCCTCACCTCTTTAGGCTGTAATTTTCGCAAATAGTATATCAATATACACTGAAATCTTGTTAAACAATGTTAAAATTTTTGCTTGCAATCATTGTGCTATGCATAATAATATCTCTCTCCCTACAAAAAAAAATAAATGAATGAATAACCTTTTTTATATCCTAATCCCTGGAACCTGTGAATATTTATTTACATGGCAACAGGGATTTAAGACTGCAAGTAAAATTAAGATTGTCAGTCAAGTGACTTTTTATTTTTTTCCTTTTTGTCTTTTTTACTGACCGGTAACGGGATCGCAACCCTCGGTGTCGCGCCCGCACCGCGGACCAGCAACGGGATTACAACCCTCGGTGTTGCACCCGCACCGCGCTCAACCAGTGAGCGGGAACCGGTCTCCACATGGGATCCGAACCCTCGGCAGGAGCGCCACCGTGCTCCCAGGCGGCGCACTCTCCAGTGCGCCACCAGGCCGGCCCAGTCAAGTGACTTTAAAATAGAGAGATTATCCTGGTTTATCTGGGTGTGAACCAACATAATCACAAGGGTTCTTAAATATGAAAGAGGGGGGCAGAAGAGGAGGGCAGAGGAATGCAATATGGGAAGAATTTGACTTGCTATTACTGCCTATGAAGATGAAAGAATGTGCGTGGCCTCTAGAAACTGGAAAGGGCAAGGAAAAGGATTCTACCCTAGAGCCTACAGAAAGAAACAAAGCCCCGCTGATACCTTGATTTTAGCCCAGGGAGACCCATTTTAGACTTCTGAACTACATAATTGTAAGATAATAAATCTGTACTGTTTTAAACCACTATTGTGGTAATTTGTTATAGTGTCCATAGAAAACTAATATAAATACTAACTACATGATAAAAAGTTCAGTCAAAATGGTCAACTCTAATGACCCTGAAGGGATCCCCTTTTATTATAAACACATATCAAATCAAAATGAAATGTTCAGGGCCGGCCCATGGCTCACTCGGGAGAGTGCGGTGCTGATAACACCAAGGCCGCGGGTTCGGATCCCATATAGGGATGGCCGGTTGGCTCACTGGGTGAGCATGGTGCTGACAACACCAAGTCAAGGGTTATGTTCAATTTTTTTTATGTATGGATGACCTTTAAATTAAGAAAAGAAAATCCCCAGATGCCAGAAAAAAAGAGGGATCTGAAGATTGGCAGAGAAAGCAATAGCTGATGCAATGATTGGGAGAGGGTGGGACACATGGTTTCAGACTCTACGGAGACCCTAAGGCAAAGGGGTAGAATTTTAACATCCACACTAGGACTTGAAACAATAAATTATGGCTGAAGCCAGAAAAGGTGAAGATGATATTGATCCCTCTAATAAGATTAGGGAGTTTTGAAGGATTACACCACCTATAAGAAGAAACGTTAAAAACCTTATACATTGGCTCAAGAAGTAGCAAAAAAGATTGCCAACTCTGCACATGACCATAAGTGGACAATAAAAGTCATCGATAATAAATGTCAAATGTCAAGCTTTGCCACTTGTGGGTACAAGATCCAAAATTACATTCCCCACAGGCATAGGAATTCTAAAATCAGAAATTACCATAAAACCCCCAGGGTCTTCTGATGAAGCAAATATAAAGCTTCTTTTAAGTGGCCTTCCACAACCTCTGGCACACAAGAGAAAAATTCCTGCTGAGCAATAATAATAATGATTACAATAATAATAGTAATAATAAGTCACAACGAAATAAAATACCATGAAAGATAGTTAAAAAGACACAGAAAAAGAAATTTAGGGCCGGCCC